GCTGGTGCTCGTCGCGGCTGCTCCCTGGCACCACATCTCCAGGCAGTGCACCGGGAAATTGAGGCCTGGAGCCAGCAAGCCACCGGGTTGCTCGATGGCAGCAGCAGGACGACAGCCCAGGACCTGCCAGCCACGTGAAAGCAACTGGAGGCAGCTTCGGTTCCCCTATACACACCAATTCCCACCCAAAATATGTCGCTTTCTGGGAGACGGAGCCTTTTCCCAGCTCTTCTCCCAGCAAAACGCCTGATTTGTTCTTCCCGGCCACCTGTACAGGCTGGGATGGTGGCAGGCACCAGGGAGGGGTGGAGAGGGGCTGGGGACGGAGGGCTCCACGGCACCACGAGGGATGGATGCTCAGCCCAGCCTGGAGCGGTGTTAACACAGACTCAATCCCTCTCCTGCCCCGGGAGCCATGTTGCCAGTGAGATGATGCCGAGGGCCTAGCGACCCAGCTCTGTGTCCTTGGGCAGTGTCAGATCACCGCCACCTCCAAAGATGGCAGAGGAGCCCCCAGCACTGCCAGCTGGCAAAGAGGGACACAGAGCCATGGGGACATGCCCGCTGCCCTCTTACCCGTCCAAGCTGTGAATGGGGCTGCTGGTGGAGATGGGGCTGGGGGCAGTGAAGGAGTTGGAGAAGGCACCATTCCTGGCAGGCACCTCTGTGGCTCCTGGCTGGGCAGCTGGCAGGCTGCCTCCCCTGCCCGTCGTGGCCGTCCGTGCCACCGACTCAACGTAGCTCCTGGGCTCTGTGGCAGAAAGGAAGGGGAAGCGGATGAGCCTGCGGCTTGTGCTGCCGGCGAGAGTGCAGGAACAGGGCCGTGCCCTTCCCAGGCACCCCATGTCAAGCAGTGAAGGTGCCTGACCTGAGCTCCTCCCGCTGCACGTTTCCTCCCCATCCCTCTGCCTCATCATTTCACCCAGCCTAAAACAAATCTGCCTGTCTCTTTTCCCCATCCCCAAGGGGTTGTGCAAAAACAGACAGGATGGACTCTGTACAGGCTTTAAGGTTACTCTGAGAGTTCCCAAAGCCCCCAGCAAGCACACAGAGAGGAGGGACCATGCCCATCCCTTCCCGGAGTGAGTAGGGCCATGGTCCCATCCTGGAGTGTGAGTGAGCCTCACTGCGGGCTCCAGCACCACCATCCCTCTGCCCTGCTCTGATTCAGCATCCCTCTCCGGCTCGGATGCCAAGCAGCACACATTGTGCTCCACACTCATCCTCAACCCATAAAAATAGAGCTGGTGCCTCAGCCCAGCCTGCGCTGACTCACAGCAGGACTAACGGTGATGCCCTGTGGTCCCTGCCCTGTGCGGTCCACCCCTCTCTGCCATCTCCAGCAGCAGAGACCAGAGCAGCAGCCCCAGCCCCAGCTATTTCCACTAAAATGCTTCCTCCCCATCCCAACTTGAAACTGGACTCCATGAGCACGCCCAGAAAAAGCAATTTTCCTTTGACGATGCTGAGCTGTCCCGTGCCAGGAATAGCAGGTTGGGCGGGCTGTCAGCAGCCTAGCCAAGCCGGCCAGCAGATCCAGCCCTCTCTCCATCTCCTCTTGCCTTTCCACTCCGAATTTCTTCTCCCCCTGCCTTCAGCGCTGAGCAGGGAAAGCACCAAATCTGTTCTTGCTGGGCAAAGCCAGCCATGTGGATGCCCCTCAGCAGCAGCCAGCCTCACATTACCACCCACCAGCCAAGACGGAGGAATAGGCTTCAGCTTTAACCTCTTTCTTCCACAACCCTGCAGGAATTTCACCAGGAGGCAAGGGCACCTTGCATGACTCACGTGTGCCATGGCCTGCCTCTCTGCCTGCTACCGGTGCCCAGTGCCAGAGTGTAGCACCCAAAACAAAACCACAGGCAAAGCCCTGGTATTCACCAGCTCTGGGCCTCGAGCCAGGCCAGGCTGCTGGAGAGGATGATAGGGTCTGGAGACCATCCCCACCCCCAGTCTGCCCCGTATCAGACACACAGCATGCAGTGGACCCTGTCCCTCTTCGGCACTGGGGCTGGGCTGGCAGCATCGGACACGAGCCGAGCGGGTACCGTGACGCTCACCTCCTGCTACTTCCCATACACCTTCCCCACATTGCCTGCCGGTGTGAAACGCTTTGGGCCGGGCATCCTCACAGGTCCCCAGCTCCACCAGCTCTTTGCACAGCCAACTCCAGGCTGGCCATGCCCTAGGCAGCTCTGCAGTAGTAATTAGTAATTACAAACATTATTGTTATCATTAGTCATAGCAGCCAGGCTCTGGCTAATCCAAGACAGCCTGCTTCCAGCCAGCAGCACCAATGCACAGTGCTGTGTTCAGGGCTAAACTTAGGGGAGTTGCAAGGAAAATGACTGTCACAGCCCTCCATCCTTCCCTCCCTGCCTCTCAGTCTCCGTGCACTGAGAATCAAAGCAAGTGCCCCATTTGCAGACAGGGGAGGATGAGTCAATCCCCCGGGGCTGATCTCCCTGCCCAGCCCTGCTCAGCCATCTCAGAAAAGATCTGAGCTGAAAACCCGATGTCAACTTGGGCTGGGTACCAATGGCTGAGGCAGAACATAAGGCTTAGAGTGACAGGGACAAGACACCCGGCATCCAGGGAGGACATCCAAGGCAGCTGCAAGAAATTCATTGCTGCTTAGGTAATTAAATTAATTTCACAGCTACACACATCACCCTCCTTGTCCCCACCCCAGACTAAAATTAGCCAGACAGTACAAATGAGTCAGCCTGCAAGAGGTTAAGACGAAACAGCTGCGAAAATACCAGCCCCTCCTGCTAATGTAGAGAGTGAGGCTAAAGTGAGGCAGGAGCCAGGGGCTCAGCAAGAAGGGCAGCAGGCCCAAGAAGGGAACACCCATGCGTGAGTGTGCGGGAGCACTGGTGGGCAAGCGCGAGTGCGTGTGCAAGCATAGGTGTGCGACAGTGAGGGCGGGTGTGCAACTGTGGGCACACACAGTTGGGAAGTTTTAGGCGGGATTTTTTTAAGTTGAAAAATCTCATCTCGCCTCCTCATGTTTTCTTGGAAGAGGCTCTGGAGATGGGAAGACAGTGGGAAAATAGAGAGGCCATGAGTCATCCCAGGGTGGGCAGCCATTCGGGAATCCCTCCCCGAGAGGAGCTCCCTGTGTGCCAGACCCTCCCTGAATCCGAGGGGGGCTGCGCGTCTGCCAGAAATACCCAACGTTGCAACTGTGACGGTCTTTTTAAAGCCTCCTCGGAGGTAGCAGCCAGGCTATAATGTCACATGCTGCCAGCGCATCCACATGGCTGCTCCCCTGCCCCGGACCTTGGACCCCAGCCTCAGGCACAGGCCAGGCAGGCTGCGATCTGCAGACCAGGTCCTGTCCCAGAGGGACAGAGATCCTTGTGGAGCATGTGGCTGAGGTACAGAGGTGCCTTGGGCTCAGAGTTGCTGCTGATGGCAGCTGCACTCTGCTAAACAGCACAGAGTGGGCCACCACTCAAGCCTGGCTATTGGGCTGTCCCCACGTCCCAGATGTGCCATCTGAAAAGCTCCCACCACCTCCCTTAGGCCAAAACAACAGTCCCCGCTCAGGGTTGCAGACCCAGCCCCATTAAAGCCATCCTGTTATCTCAGAGGTTAAAAAAAGGAAAGCAGCTTTGCAAGAGGTTGGTGGTGGCTACTCAGCCCTGCCAGTGCAGGGTCAGTGGTCCTCACCAGGCTATCCATCACACAAGCAGCCCACGAGACCAGAGAAGCAGTATAGTTCAAGCTCCTTTCTCTCTGCTTCCTGAGGGTTTGGTGAGAAGGAGAGAAAGAAGAGATTTGGATCTTTGGAGGGTGAAAAGGTAAAGTTTCTAGGAAAAGCCTAGAAGGAAAATTTGGGGGAAAAGCCCATTTTTATCTCCACTTTTCTTCCTCTGAGGCATCGAAAAAGCCATCACTGAAAAATCTGGGAATTCGGGAAATGGAAGATCTTTAGTGCTATCTTCTTCAAGCGAATGCTTTCTCCCATATCTCCAAAATGTTCAGGTTTGGGCTGATATTTGTATTTCAAGGAATTTATGGGGAGAAATACTAATTGTTCCCAGGAGCCACGGGAAAACATAGCAAACATACCGGAAAGAGACATCATCTCACTGAAAAGGATTCTGAACAAATAGTTTCCCATCCTGGCCCTGAAGGCCTAAACTTTCATTAAATAAGAACATAAAACCACCCAACAGCAATTAGATAGAAGTCAGCACATCAGGTAATTGCCGGCACTCCCAAAGCCTCTGCTCCCCCAGGACATATGCCATCCCGGAGCCATGCAATAGGCAGAGCCATCCCCAAACCTGCGCAGGAGCCTGTGCAAACCCACCTGGCTGATGGAGGCCACGGGCAATGAATGCACTGAGGACACCCCAGCTCAGCCCATGCTGCACCGTCCCCGCCAAGATGCACAGCCCAGGGGTGGGAGGTGGACGCAATTGCGGGAATTTGGACCACCTTTTTTACATCGCTGCGCCAGCCCGGCGGCGGATGCTCGCAGTCTATGCTTCGCCACTGCACAAAAGGACGAGCTGGCGCCCAGCTGAGCCAGCAACACGTTTGCAGCCTTTGTGCCTTGTGACCTTTTGTGCTGCACTTTGGTTTATTTTCGCTCTCCTCCAAATGGCAGCAGCATGGCCAGAGGGGGAGGGAAGGATCCTGGAAACGGGGCTGTTGCTCACAGACCCCAAGCAGGCTGGTTTGAAGCTGGCTGAGGCGTGCCAGCTTTCGCAGTGTGTCTGCAGTGAGGACATCATGCGCCACATTCGCAGACAAAGAGCTTTCAGCCGCCTTGGACCATTGCCACCCAATGCGACAGACCTCTGTGTGCTTCCTTGGACCAAGCGGCTAAAGGGGCGAGGTGAGCACCCCAGGAGCGACTGCTGCAATTGTGCAGCTCCTTTTGCAGTGCCCAGGGATCTACACCGCAGAGAGAAACTCCCAACAGTTGGGGCTGGAAAAGCATCAGCTCCTCTTTACCCCATGCATCAGAGACATCGGAGAATCCAACCACATCACAAGACACAATGTTTCCCTTCCCAAAAGGGAACAGGATCAGCAAGACTCAGGCTCCTAAATCATTTCCAAAGCATAACTTAGGGGCTCCCTCCAACAAAAGGAAATCTGTTATCTCAGACAGCTGTAGCCTGCTCTGAGTGACAGGCCCAGACAGGAGGAGTGGGAAAAAGAGATACAGAGAAAGAAAAGCCTTTCTTACCTTCGCCAGAGTCAACTCCTGCCTCCCCTTCTAGCTCTGAAAGATGGAGGAGCAGGGGAGTAATGGGAGGTGGGGGAGAGATGGAAGAAGGGAGGTGTGAGACAGAGAGAGAGAGAAATCTGAGTTTGGAGGCTTTGCCTTGCTTTGACGAGGGCACATGGAGGGCAAAGGACCCATACCTTCCTGACCCTGCGCCCAAGCCTGGCCCCTCCCTGCCAGGGACAGCTTGTTGGGGTGACTGCAACCAGCTTGGCATCCCAGAGGTGACTTCCAGACCTGAGGGGGCTGGTTTAGGGTGGGGAAGTGGGAACAGCCCAGCAGGGAGCAACCACAAAGGGCTGCTCCAAAAAACCCAGCAAGCACCAGGACAGCATCAGCCAAGGCAACCCCCCTGGGCGCAGCCGGGCTCTCAGCTCTGAGATCCCCCAGGAGGGGCTGGGTGCTGGGGAGCAGCGAGGTGTCTGGCTTAACTGACAGCTCTGTACCCAGCACAGCTGAGCAAGCCCAGCGGGGGTAGCTGGGGCCTTTGCACTCAGGGACAAGTTCTTGGGATGGAGAGGGCTCTGGATACTATCCTGGCTGACAGGCTCAGCTCCTGCAAGAGCAAACCCTCTCCAGCTGCACTGGGACGAGAAGGAATGGAGGGAGTGAAGGAGGAGTAGTGGGGAGGAGACAGGTCCCTGGGCTTTTCCAGCCTCCACCAGCAAAGACTTCCAGTAATGGGGAGTTGATCAACACAACCACGCATTCCCTGCCATATCGCCCTGCTGGGCTGAGCTCTCCAGGGAAGCACCAAGTTCTCCCACCTGCAAACAGTCCCAGAGGCCCCAAGGGAAACTACAAGCTCCCCAGGGCTGCCTGGTCCAAAGGGGGAGGAAGAAGTGCCTTCTCCACCCAAGGGACCTTCCAGGGGTATCCCCATGGACATCCTCCATAGAGGATCACCTCCAGCCCCAGAGCCTGCAGCCCCGGCCCCGCACTCACCTCCCACTGGGTGCAGCAGGATCTCAGCTGGGTTATGGGGTTTCAGCCCCAGTGCTGACAGAGGAGTCTTGGCCAGGCCAGGGGGAGAACGCACTGTCGGCACAGGAGGGAAAAACAACAGTGTTAACAGAAGGATGGCAGATAAAGCTTCAGAAAGGCCAGTGGTGTCGCTGCCTGGGAGTTCACAGACCTCCACAAGCTATCCCACCCACCAGCTGCAATCAGGCACTCAAGGGGAAGAGCAGGCATAGGACAGGGAGCTAGCCCTCATCAGAAGCGACACCACGGCACAGCACCAGTACTCCTCTCCGTTTGAGGATGCATGCAGGGCAGGAGGTGCCCAGGAACACGCAGTCTCCCCCAGAAATGGCAGGCTGGGGGGGGGGGGAATACCTGCTGGGGTAGGCCCACACCCCATCTCCCAGCAACGTCCCCAAAAGGGAAGAGTCCTACCATAGGCACGAGCCTTCTTTGTCACCCCTAAAAGGGCAGCCATCTCCCCTTGCCAGCTCTCCCAAACAGTCAACCCCCCTTCCGATCCCCAAGTCTGGCTGAGCTGAGGCTGGGCTGGCCCAGAGCAGCTCATCACACCCATGAAATGGGCAGCAGGACTGCCAAAAAATCCCACACCCTTCAGTACAGCTCGACGGGCAGGTGAGGATGGTTGTATATGGCATGTTCCCTGAGAGGTGGAAATGCACATGTGGTTCATGGTGTGTGTCCATATGCACATATACCGTGGAGCTGTATATGCATGTATGGGTATAGATATGGATGCACTGGCAGTACTGGGTGGCAGGGCTTCATGGTGCAGGGGAAATGATGGATGAGCAGGGCAAGTACAGCCGCTCTCTCCAAGCTGACTGCGTGTCCTGCCCCATCCCACCCCACAGATGTGACTCCTGTCTCCCTGATACTGCATTTTACCAGAGCCACAAACAATCCAGCTTTCTAACATGCCAGAAGAGGCTTCAGCACGGAGGCGGCTGAAGGCTATGCAGGGAGGTGTTTCGCCTCCAGCAGGAGCGACTGGAGAGCATTTCAGGGCACGTTCCCCAGTGGTGTTTGAATGTCCCAACCTACAGCTGGAGCGCAGGGCCCAGTGTTGGGAGGCGATGGGTGGTGGGCAGCTATGGAGGAAAGCCAGACCCTCCTGGAGGCCACGTCTTCACAGCTGCCTTAGGCTGGGGCAACTGTGCAGCCGAGTCACTGGGAAACCAAGCAAGGGCAAGATGGCAGTGCGTCCCCCAGCCCCGGCAGGTGTATGATTTCCCCAAATTTGGTCACCTGCAAGCCACAGCATCAACTCACACCTCCATTGACTGACAAACTGCAGGGTCCTCCCACAACTAGGAATTCCCTCAAGGACAGCAATCTCCCCATGGAGGGGAATTGCTCCCACATCCTCCCCTCTAGCACTTTGGCTAAGCCTGAAAGGTTCAGCTCCAAACTTCCCAGGCCTCCCCGACTGGCGCTGGATAAGACACATTGCCTCAGCGAGGCTGTTCCCGTCACCTCTCTGAGTGACTCATCCCCAGAAGGAGCCACTGTCCCCCTGCCAAGGAGTTCCCGCCCCGGAGCCAAGCTCCCTGTGTCCCCCTGGAACAAGGGGGTCATTTCCAAGCTGCCAGATGCCCCGGGGACCTTCCCACACTTCATTCACTGCATCCCGTGAAACAGGGCTCAGACATCAGTGTGTTGCAGAGAAGCAGCAATCCCACAGAAGGAAACAGCCTCGTGAGCCCCCCTGGGCAAGCTACATGGGGCAGGTGACCCCATTGGGACCACTGCTGCCAGCTGGGACCAGGATATGGCATCGGAGGGGGCTGCAGGCCACCCCAGCATCTCCAGCGCCAGTGCATCCTTCAGCACCCGGCCCACAAAAGTTTTGGGGGGAACTGCCATCTTTGCGATGAGCCTTGCCGGGTTTCCCAGTCGAGTGGCTGCTCTGTTGCCCTGCTCCAGCCCAAGTCCTGCTGTGCTGACGTGCGGCTCCACATCGGGCTTTGCTGCTAGAGATGGTCAGACAAACCCGGTCCGCACAAATCCACCATGACTCAGGTCGGGGTTAGTCAGAAAGGAAACAGAGGAGCAGAGAACTACCACATGCAAAGGGCCACGCTACTGCAAATACCTCCAAGCTTTTCAGCCCCTCCTGCAGTGGAAATAGCACGTGAAAAGTGACATTGCCTGCAAGAGACTGCCCTGAGTGCCTGTCCCTGCCTTTACCTCTCCTGCCTCCCCCTGCTCTCCCTCTACAGCAATGTCTCTGGTTTTATGCCGTGCCAGCAGGAAAGATGGGGAGGTGCTGGAGTGGGCCAGAAATTGGGGGAAATGATGCTGTCTTGCACCTTCTCCCCCCTCTCTCCTGCCAGCCTCAGGATCCCTGCTGCAAATCGCCCCAGTGCATGGAGAACAGGGAAAAGCCAAGAGGAAGGTGCCAGGTGTGGGATGTCGCAGAGCAGCAGAAGGTGCTGGACCAGTGGGCGGTGGGATGCGAAGGGGCGAAAGGAGGAGAGAGAGAGAGAGAGGAGGAGTGATGAACATGGTGGTGGGTGTCTGGAGCCCGGAGCTGTCTGACCTTTGGTATCTGGTTTGGGGCGAGACGGGGAAGGCTGGGGTGGGGGGAGAAATCTCCCCGCCGCTGGGGGGTGGGCTGGTGGGGGAGGCACCCTCCATCTCCTCAAAGGCTTCCTTGTAGCTGTGGAGGTGAGGCTGTGGGAGAGCAAGAGAAAGGGTCAGTCCCATCCCCATGACAGGCACCTCCAGGACACCAGGAGCAGGGAGCGGAGTGGGCAAAGGGAAGGTTTTCTCATTCTCCCCAAACCTAAAAACCACCACAGAAAACGTGATTAATCCACAAATCTCCCACCACGGGATGCTGCAGATGCTAAAGGTCCACTAGTAATCTCCAAGCACTTCCCCTTCCCAGTGGCAGCCATCTCCCCTCACCAGCTGCCCTCCTGTGGTGGCCGCCCGCAGCCAAGCCCCATCGCACCTCTTTGGGCCTCCCTCCGGGGTTGGCCGCGATGGTGCTGACCACCTCGGGCGAGACGCTGTGCACAGGCGAGCGGACCGTGGGGCTGCGCGGCGAGCTGGGCTCCGGTGAGCTCTTCTCATAGTGGCTCTCGCTGGGGGGCCGCTTGCGGGCAGGGATGGCGCTCTCATCCGGGGGCTTCTCCCGAGACTGCACCCCTGCGAGGGCAAGCACAGGGCAGGAGCCACGGTCAGGAGACACCAGCTGAGCCGGGGATGGGGAGGTGATTCCCTAGGGATGACGGTGGGCTGATCCGAGAAGCCTCCCCAGGGCTGTGTCTGGCAGGAACAGCAGCTTCACCTGCCCCCATCTCAGGGCAGCATCTAACCCCCTGGCATGGCCCATTTCAAGCTGGATCAGATATTCCCTAAAGCAGTGGACCGTAGCCAAGCAGAAAAGCTAGTCGAGGTTGTGGCTAGCATCTGGATCCCTGCTTTAGACTTCCCAAGCACTGCCTGACTCTTGCATTCGGCTGGGCAGAGCACCCCCTGGCACTGGGTATAGTGGGTTCGAGCATCCTCCAACAGCCTGGAGAGCCGGTGACAGCTAATGGAGCAAGTGGGATGCTGCCTGCCTGAGCCTCTGGAGCACGCAGGGCCCTGCAGGCTGCACAACAGCCAGGATCTGCCCCCAGGATAACGGGGGAAGATGGGGGAGACGGCCAGTTCGCCCCGTGCTGGAGGAGCTGTGTTTGGCTGCATGCCTGCTCCTGCAGCCAGAAGTGGCTTCACTCACAGCAGTGGTCTGTTTCTGCAGCAAGTCCTCAAGGCAGAGGGAGCACCCGGGCCGGTGGAAGGGCCAGGCAGAGGAATGGGGCAGGGAATCACAGCAAATCACTGCTGCTCCCCTGCCTCCCCAGCACAGGCTCTTCTAATAGGGGAGACCAGCTTTTGCTCTCCATCTCCCTGTAGGTCTCCCCTCTCATGCCCCCAACAAAAGGAGGGCAACTACTCTGCAAAGCATCAGCGCCCACAGCGTGGGGCAGGGCCAAGGGGCACTTAGTCCCAGTGGGAAAGTAGGGAGTGAGCAAGACATTGAAGGAAAACATAGGGTAGATCCCACCAGAGATCCCAGCTCATCCACAGAGCATGGCTGAGGGGCAGAAAGCCCAGAAACGGGGGCAAAGCAAGCACAGGGTAGAGGGTGCTTGGAGGGCTGGGGTAAAGGATGTGACCCCACCTCTCCCAGCGCCCAACAAGGCCCAGGTGTAAGGTCCACCCCAGCTGGCCCCGCGCTGGAGCTCCCCTCACAAGGAGGGGGCACCTGGGGCCAGCGCATGCTACACTCTGAGCAGGTGCTCCCCAAATCGGCCGTGGTGCTGAGGCTGGTGCAGGAGGCCTCAGCAGGGACCGCAGAGTTATCACGGATGCAACTCAGAGCCGCGTCGCAGTCCCTCTCCTCCCCGGGACCCACGTGGCAGTGAGGCAACCCCCCAATCTCAGACCCGCTGCTCGTCCTGCCCCAGAGAGGGGCTGACAACGTCTCGCAGCCCCAGCCGCATCCCTGAGCTCCCAGCACGGCCCCAGCTGGGGCGCCGCAGCAGCAGGGTCAGCAACGTGGGACTGGCACAGGTGACAACACCGTCCCCTCAGCCTTTCCTGCAGTCAGACAGCGCTTGCAATCCTCTCAGCCCAGCCCGCAAAATACATAAATAAATAAATAAAAGGATAATATCATTCTCCAGGAAATGCACTTTTCAAACACCAACTCCTTTCCCACGGGCTCGCAGAGAAAAACCAGCCATCAGCTGCTTCCCGTCGCTCTCCAGGGCTGTGAACAGGACTGACTCCTTGCGCCCGCTGACCTCTCCTCTTTATCTCTGTACATACCACTCGCTAACAAAGCCGTGTGCAAGCGTCGTCAGAGTTTTCCTGGCCCGGGGACAGGCTCAGAGCTAGCGAGGGAGGTGGATGCATTTCTAAATAATCAGTGCAGTTAATGGCAACAACAATAAAATCACCGCTCTGGGGAGAAGCAGCCGGGCTGAGAGGCGGGGGCCGCGCGCCAACAGGGCTGGCTCGAGCAGCGGAGGCGGCCTGGAAAATTCCACTAAGAGCGGCTTTGAAACACAACTCCCCGATCCCATCTGCAGGTGCTCACTGGCTTGAGAGGCGGCCGGCCCCGGCCCCAGGGGGCAGGGGGCAGGCAGTTAAAAAGGCCATCGGTGAGGACAAGGGGACAGGAGAGGGGCTCTGAGAAGCTGTGGTGCAGGCATGGTGGCCAAGTGGGAGCACTCTAAGCAGTCACCCTAAATCTTTTGCTCCGCTTCTTCTAAGTGAATGAACAATGAAGTTGCAAGCACAGGGAGAAAACAATTGGGGGAAAAATAAAGCAAAGCCCTGTATTTTCTTTTCTTCCCTCTGCTTCAGGCACCAAGTGTCATGTCCTTGCATGCTTGTGGATCAGCATATGCTGCGAGAACAGCACTGGGAGCATCCCTTAGTTTATCCCAAAGTGAGCTGCAGAGATTTGGCATTGCACAGAGACAGGGACTGGGCCCCACCTCAAGTTGCACACATTCGCATGGCTTGCTTCTTTAATTCAGGAGGCACAACAGCTAGTTCCCTGGAGCACAGCTGTCAGCGTACATCGTACATCGTGTGTTTGCAGCATGGGGCCTCTTGCTCTGGCACAGGGACCGGTTGTGGCTCTGTGTCACCCAGCCGTGATGCACTCAGGTGTCCCCAGACCCCAAGCAGGCAGGGACAGGGAGGGAGCACGTGACTGGACACCTCAAGGAGAACAGCCAAGAGGAGGTGGGAGTAGGGGGCCACATGGGAATCAGTGCACAGGTCTTGGAGATAAAACTGCTTGGCAAAAGGCTGCAGGGCGATGCAGGAGCTGCCACAGCACCACAGCTCCGGGCATCAGCCAGCGCTTAGCAGCACCGGCCAAGCGCCTGCATAGCACTGAATCCTGCTCTCTACGCCCTGCGCTCAAGACGCCCATGAGTTCACCGGACTTTCACTTCTCTGCTCCCCAGAAATGGAAAACAGACGGGGACGGTGGGGAGGGGAGGGAGGAGGGGAAGAAGGGACTGATTGTTCGGGAGCCGAGAGTGGGAAACGTCACAGGGCACTCGCAGCAAAGCCTGGAGGAAACCCAGGCTCTGAGCACAGCTTCCCTCGACCCCTGGGTGACTTACGTGCTGGAAACAACTCCTGAAAAATAAAGTATCCTTTCCCCCACTTGGTGTGCCCCCCTCCACAGATGTAGGGCCCGGCCCAGCTTTAGCAAGGAAAACTGTCCCCGGGAGCACGGCATCGCACAGCCCACCCATCCGCAGCCAGCTCGCGCTCCTCCAGGACGCCCTGCCCGGTCGCGCCAACGAGGTTTCCCCATCACGGCACGCTGAGAACAGCCGAAATGCCAAAGAGCAGGTTGTGCCCCCATCGCTTCCCCTGCCTCACACCACCGCTGCCACCCCTGCTGCGGGCCGATTGCACTTGCTAATCCCCCGCTGCGCCTCGGGGATGCTGCACCCAGCCAGGCTGGGTCACAGGATAGCCAGAGCCAGAGAGGTGAAAACTCGCTTCCTCCCTGCATGAGGCAACGCAGCAGATATCACCCCAGACCGCTCTCCACCAGAGCTAGACTCTCCCCCATCCCACAGGCCAGAGCCACGTCTACCTCTCCCCTCCTCCCAGGACACTCTGTCGACGCAACCGTCTGTGGTTTACCCCAAAACTAGTGCAGCTGGGGCTGATGCACGGTCACGCAGAGAGAGAGGTGTGCTCCAGGCACAAGCAGCACGTGCCAGCAGCAGCCAAATGGCTGCAGGCTGGGCTCTGCAGCCACAGGTGAGCACGGGATTGAGCCCAGATGAACCCTGCCTCTGATTTTCCAGCCTGTCCTCTGGAGGAATTCATGGCCAGGTCCACATCAGTAGCTGAGTCAGGGCTGCATCTGTGCTGCTGGTCTGGCTTCGCTGTGAGAGGCGTGGGGGCTCCTATCCTCCCTGCCCAGATCTGCCTGCAGCCACCTTGGTGGCTTTGTCCCTAGCCTTGGGGACACCCGAAAGCAGCTCGTGCCCCCAGCACAGCAGAGTCTGCAGCACTGTTTGTCACTGCAAACAGGCACGGGCAGAATACGTTACTCTGCATCAAGGACTCGGAGGGTTCAAACCTCTTCAGGTCTCCTGGGGAGAAACCCAAGTCACTAGCAGGCAGAGAAAAGTCACCCACAAAAGCGGTGAAGCCCCAACCTGCTCTTCGCCCTCCATCCCCCAGCTCTGCACCCAGCCCCTCTCCATCCCCCTCCTCTGCCCACCCTGGGGACACATGGATGCAAAACCTGCATATCGCTGCATGGGAGCTGAGCAGGTCCCCAGCGTGGCTTGCTCGGACCTGGCAGCCCAGCGGAGATTCACCTCCAAGGAGCAAGGCATTTGTTCATCTCGCAAAAGCCACGCTCCATAAAATTCAGCCTTTGCAGCTTGCGCTGCCTGGCTGTGGACAGTTCCATGGGGGGAAACCCCCAGGTTTGGAGCAGGTGTGATCCTGCCATGCCAGAAGGTGGCTGAATCAGGGGTTTGCCAAGCTGCACCCCTGCCCTTGCTTCCCCAGGGGCAAGCCGGGGCTGGGGCAAAGCTCGCAGGGGCTGGAGTGAGTGTCAGGACACAGTACAGGAATAAAACCCATTCGACAGCGGTGACAGGGTTGAATGAGAAGCAAAACCCAGTATGGGTGGGAGAATCTGCACCCAGGGCCAGGGGCTCCCCCATCCCTTGGAGGAGCTCAAGGCGGGGGACACTGAGCATCGCCTGCTGAAAAAGGGCATCAATCCTGCGTGGGGAGGCTCTCCTGTGCCTCCCCCCATCCCACGCCCATGTAACACACGGAGCACTCAGCATGCAGGAAAAGTGGAGGAAGGTGGAAGGAGAAAGAAAGAAGAAGGAGAAGGAAGGAAGGCAGAGAAGGATGGAAGGAGGGAGGAGAAGGAAGAAAGGAAGGAAAAGAAGGAAGGAGGGAGGTGGAACACAACAAACCGGAGAAGGAGAAGGACCGTGGCTGGTTCAGAGGAGGACGGGGGGCTTTGGTGCTCTTGCAGAGGTCCCTGAGCTTGGCGTTGTACTCTGTCGGTGCACCCGGGACAGGGGGTGCAAAGGGGATGGAGGGGAGGGTGGGAGACCACAGGAGACAGACACAGTCCACCACAGGGAGAGGACGTGGCAGACAGACAGACAGGACAAATATCACAATAGACAATAGGGAGAGAGAGAGAAAAAACAAGAGAAAATATTAGTCAGGCTCCCACAGACCGTGATTGCTTGCGGTCTAAGGATGGCTCAGGCCCTGCTCGGAGCTGCTTTTGCATCACCTGAATTGCATAGCCTTTGCCTCACCTCGGCCCCCTGCACCCGGCTCCAGGCACCCCTTCTGCTCCCAGTGGGAAACGAACGGCGGCTCCCAGCCACGCACAGCCTCAGGCCACACTGTAAATGCCCAGCTGGCACTCAGACCTGTCCCCTAGGGGACAACACCGCGCAGGTCTCCTCCACCTTGCACCAGCCTTGCACGGGCTGGTGCAGCCAGAAAGCAGCTGCCCAGTGAAGTGACTGGCAAACGCCACGATGGGCAACCAGGGACAACCCAGCATGGCTGTCCTGGGCTTTACATCTCGGGGTGCCCAGGCACCCAGGCATGCCTCAGGACCCCGGGCAAGGAGAAGGGATGTCCTCAGATGCCTTGCTGGGAAGTGACAGGGACGTGAAGGACCATCCCTGCCCCTCTACCGCCTTGCCGGAAACGGGACCGGGAGCAGTCGCCCCCCGGGCGCAGAGGAGGTGCGAGATGCTCCTCATTGCTGCGCCGGGACGCATTGGGCAATTTATAGCAGCAGGGAATGTAAACAAACACGGCCTCACCACCACGGCCATCCCCTCCCAGCCCCAGCGCTGCCTTCGGGACGCCTCGTTCCCACCGGAGGTCAGGCGCCCGCCCGCGCATCCCTGCCTGGGGCCGACAGCCAGGCTCTGTCAGTGACAGCTGGACGCGGGTGGGCACCGGCCCGGGGCTGCTCAGCTCCTCGGGAAGCCCAGGGCTGCGGAGAGATGTGTCTCACCCTGGCCCAGCTTCCAGGACCCTTCCCCAGACCCCGAAGGTTGGAGGCAAGAGTTTTTGATAGACACAAGCAAAACATCCATTTCTGAACCACTGCAAATGCTATTCCACACTGGGACGGTGCCGGAGACCGTTAACTGCCCCCTCCACACTCTCCTCCTCTGCTGGGGGTCTCTGCTCTTTTCCACCCCATTTTTTTCCTCCTTGTAGCTGCTAGGAGGATTTTGTCGGGTGTGGGGGTGCTTCTCGTTGCAATATTCAGTCCAGAGGCACACAGGGGGTTGGGCATCTGTATGTCCTTGGGATTTTTTAAATCTTCTGCACAAGCCCTGGGTCCCAAAGTGCTCCTGTGGATCTGAATCACCAGGACTGGGTTTGGAGGGATGCAAGCTGCCCTCCACCACCTCTCCAACCCCCAGTCCTTCCCCACGCCACCGGCACCCCTCCGGCCCCCTCCCGCTACCACAGTGACTCAGCCCAGCGCCTGGTGGGTTGGTGCTGGTTGTATTTTTCCAGCCAAGCCTTTTCCCCCTCCCTCTAATACCGTACGAGTTTCTGGACTGAGCGCAGAGCTGGAACGGACGGAGCTGCCAAGTCCCAGCATTACACACTGGCCCCAAGCCTGGACACATCCCTGAATCCTTCCTAAATATCGCTCCGTAATTAAACAACTGCTCGTTCAAACAGCACAGAGGGAGGGCGTCCGCACTGCTCCAGGATGCTGGGAACCTGTTCCTGGGGGACTGGCACCTCCTGTGCCCCCAGTCTCCCCAAGCCAGAGCCAGGGGATGGCAGGAATTCAGAGAACAGTTTTCCCTCCACGGCATGGAGCAAACCCCTTCAGCCACCCACGGCATCAATGCTCTGCATTGCACCCAACCACACCGTGCTGTTCCTCCTCTCCAGTGGGGCTGGGAAAGGCCTTCTTCATCGCTTGGATGCCCACACACACACCAGGTCCATTTGCAAACCTCCTCGGGCCCAGCCGGCTTGGCAACTCGGCAGAAAGCCAAGGCGGGGAGCCCCAGAGAGCAGGGCTTGAAGCAAGGCAGGGGATGCTGCTGCTACCCTGCACCACGGTTCCCTCTCTGGCAGCACCCCGGCTGCCCGCGAGGTGGCGTGAACCCAGAGCCCAGCACCCTGGGGAGAAAGGAGGGGGCTGCACTACGAGAGGAGCCAGCTACCTATAAAACCAGGCACATGCTCTGCATCTTAATCCAGAGCATGCTCCAGGCACCGGGAGCACTGCCTCCAAAGAGGGGTCCAGATAGGACACCATCAGCCATAGCTAGAAACATCATACCAACTGAGCCATGCTGCCCCTGAAAGGGAAGAATCCCTCTGCGACCCAGTGAGCAGCCCTGCCGCAGGAGAAAACCCAACTCAGTGCCTGCAATGGCTCAGGACAGGGAGCCGGGCTTCAGCGCTGCTCCCCATGGGCGAAAGCCCAACCCCTTGGACAGCCCTTCTCTTCCTTCCAGTTGCTGCTGCTGCTGCTGCTGCTGCGCAGTCCTGCAAGCCCAGGTCAGGGCAGCTGCCGGCACAGGTCAGGACAGCTATTTCCCTTCTGCTGCCCCAAGACAGCACGCTGCAGGGAGCAGAGCCATGGCAAGGGCTCAGCCTGCCCCAGCACTCCATGGCACCAAGGAGAGAGCGGCACAGGCTGCCACCCTCCGCGGGCTCGGAGCTGGGTGCCAGCCCACCCAATGCCAGGGACGACATGGGGTGCATCCATTCTCGAGAGGTCGAGTGGCAAGCCTGGATCTGGCATAGATAAGGAGTCGCCACGGCCCTCCGCTGCCCTATGTGGGGAGCCAGCTCTCTCTCCTCCAGTCCCCTTCAGCCCCACGCAGCACCTCGGCCGAGCCAGGCACGCCAGCCCGACCTCATGCAGCCCAACGCCACCCTGGCAGGCTCTGGCATCTCCGGACATGCGGTCCCTCCCATCCCCCCAAGGAATCAAAGCATCCTACCTGCCACCCTGTGGGCCACCAGGCCCTCCAGATTCAAGGGCTCTTCTGCCGATCTCGACAGGTCTTCATAGCTCTCCAGTCCCTTGGGGGGAAGCTGGGTTTGTGCCGGGACTGTAGGGGAAGGTGGGGAAGAGACCAGGAGCTGCTGAGATCCTGCGGGGCTGTATGAGGTGCTGAGCGGGAGGACGCTCACTGGGGCACTGGCTGGGGCATGGCTGTAACTCCTCGGCTCTGGCACCGGAGGCGGCTGGTAGCCGTAGGGCGAATAGGCTTCTCGGTAATCCTGCACTGCATAGTCTGGCTCCCCAGTGCCTCGACCCACGGGAGCCAGAGGGCCGGGAGAATAGGCTTTGGGCACAGGTTCAGAGACCGTGGGACCCAAGGAGGTGCTGAAGGACCTTGGCTGGGCCACCTGCAGAGCTGGCTGGGCATAGAGGCCCGAGACAGGCTGGGCTGACAGCGAGGAGACCAGGGGCCCCGGCTTGTCCTCGCGGGAGGCCACAGGCACACTTTGCGACTTGTGCACGGTGGGAGCAAGGTCGAGCATGAGGACATCAAGTGCTTCAATGGACTGCTCAATCTCCCGGCGGGAGGGCGCTCGGGGGAACTCAGGCATGCTGTGGCTGTGCGGGGGCACGAGCTGCAGCGGGCTAGGCTGGGGGCTGCAGCTGGACACACTGGGGCTGTGGCTCTCCAAGCCACCGTCCTGCTGCCGGGAAGGTGGCCGACTCCCACCTTGCTGCTGCCAGGAATTCAAGCCCCTCTGCACGGCCTCCCGGCTGCTGGTGCTGCGAGCTGGAGCCTGGGGCAGCGTGGGGTTTGTCTCGTACTTGGCCATCTCCACCGCCGGGAAGGACTGGGAGCGATAGGCACCAGGAGGGTCGTAGCTGTACAAGTAGGGCTGGACGCTGGCCAGTGGCTGGGGCTGGAGCCAGACTGAGGCAGGGGAGCCTGGCTGCCTCTGCGGATAGCTGGCCAGGCTCTCCTGAGCAGACGCTGAAGGCCGCAGATGAGCCAGCGGGTCCCGGAGGTGATGACCCATCAGTGTGTTCTGGTTGTTGTAGGGGTAGCCACCATTGGAGAGCGGCTCCGTGTCATAGAGCCCCTCTTTGAGCAACTTCTCGGTGCCGTTGTAGCTTGAAGGGCCATTGGGCAGGGACGAGAGGCTCCCCACACGGGGTGCCTCATGGTACCCAGCCTCACTGGTGGTGGTGGTGCCATCCAAGGAGGAGAGTGTGCCCAGGCTGCCCACGCTGTGCCCGTCCTGGTTGGGCAGCTCATCATCTAAGATGTCTGTCTCCCGCTCGGTCACCAACGGCGCAGCGTTCCCATTGACATGCACCTGAGCCGGCACTACGTGGCGGCCCGGCATAGCAGGCAGGCGAGCAGGCACAGGGCCCTGCACGTGGTTGTGCATGGGCGCCGCGCTCTCCAAGCCGAAGCCAACCAGGAGACGGTCGAGCTCACGCTTCTCCTCAGGGCTCAGCACTGTGTGGCCACTGGGCGCCCCAGGCACCCCCGGCTCATCGGTCCTGTCGGTCTTAGTGGAGGCAGTGGAGTTGCCTGAGTCGCTGCTCACCGAGAGCGTGTGCTCGACGTGGTTCGGGGTAGCTGAAAGCGGGAGGCGGCTGGTGTTGACAGCGCTGGTGCTGCCGTGGAGGGAGTCTTTCTTCTTCACCTTAGCGTAGAGGCTCCCATCCAGGGGCCCTTGCGTGTGCCCAACCTCTGCAAGGGGAGAAACGAACACGAGACCCGAGATCAATTGCTGGCTCTCTGCACGGAGCTAATGGGTCCCATTAGCTGACGGTTTCGATCTCTTTCATGCCGCCATATCGCTTAGCTACCAGCATTGCTGTCTCCTCAGTACCCTCCACAATCCCACAGGCGCCACCATGCAAAGACACCGGCGCCAGGTCTCCCCTCCCCATGCCCCATGGCTCCACGTGCGCTGCCCGGGCTCCACACGTCATCCTTCCCTCCAGCTGCCCTGCCCTGAAAGCACCACATGCTCTGCAGCCACCCAGCAAATAACCCCCCTGGTTCAATGCAATGTTAATGGCAATTCTCCCCCAGGATACATCGATGGAGATGGTTAGGGCTGCTGGTCAGGAATCAACTTGCACATAACAGTGTCCCTACTTCTCTGCAAGGCTCAACCAAAGAGCCATACGGCAGCGGGGAGACTGGCAGGGCTGTGGTTGTGCAAAGGGTGGGAACGATGCACACGCAGGCCTTAGGAGGACAGGCTGAGGATCTGCCTGTGTCAGCTGGATGTGTTCACCCCATGGATGGAGGACAGATGAACTCAGAATCCATCTTCCCATGTCCCCACCCATTCCTTCCTCCCACGCTCCTCCCAAATGATGCACAGATCCAGCTAGCCAGTCACCCATCCTTGACATTTTCCTCCCTGGCTACAGAAAAGCTCCCACCCTTTCTGTGCTTCCCCTTCCCTCCTTCAGGGTGGACAGATCTGCCCGGGTCCTTTTCCCATGGCCAGATGCTCTCCCACAGCTACGACACAAGCAGCATTTCTGCCGAACTCTCAACATGTAGCATCTCCTCCCCGAGGAGGCACCAAATGCCTGAAGCCACAATTCAAGGCCTGTGCAAGCAGCCAGCTCTGCTCCACAGCCAAGTCCCGACAGCCAGGAGGCAACCACAATACAGTAGCGTCACCACCTTGCCCTCCAGCAATCTGGGCAGGACTCCCCGCACTGCGGCTGCCCTGGCTTCCCCCTCTGCCAGCCCCATACCCCACTCCAAGCATCCCAGTAGCAACTGCTCCCAGCAGCGGCCGCCCCCGGCAGCACAGGCTGCACTTATCAACAATTTCCCAACGCGTCGCACAGCCTTTAGGTGCAAAGAGGGGTCCCATGGACCCAGCTGCCGAGATGGCTACGGTGACGGCTGGAGAGCCATGCCTGTCCCTCCCCCAGAGCACGCATGCCACCGGCTGGGCTGCAGACGCTTGTTTTTCCAGCTCCCCGCCAAGGTTTCCTGGAAGGGCCTGCAAGCAGCGTTAAACACTTTCTTTTGGAGGAAAAAATGACTCTTCTCTGGCCGGAGGCCAGGCGGCTGACTCAGGAACGGAAGACGGCTCTAATGTGATAGTGTGAAATCAGAGCGCTCCTATCTGCGAGCAAAACACTTCCGAAAGCAAGCCCCCGAGCTGGGGGCACAGGCACTGGGTTAACCTGTCCCTGTCCGCTCGTGGGGCCGGGTGTCCCGTGCTCGCCTGCCCCAACATGCCAAGGCTGGCCACGCACTCGTGTCCCCCCAAAATACTGCAAGACACACAGCCACCCAACCCTCCTCGCTGCGAAGTGGAGAGGGGAAAAAACGCGGAGCACACAACATACCAAGTCAGCCTCTTCCCTCTCTGGGAAGAGCCCTCCTGCCACCGATTTTCCACTCCTGAATCCTTGTTGGCAACCGGTGGTGCCCCAAGGAGGTCACCAAGTCCCAAAGACCCTCCTGGGCCTGACAATGCCCCTGGACCCCCCGCTAGGGCAGTCCAGGCAGGGATGGCGAGGTCCTCCCCGGCAGTCCGGCGTGGGAAAGGGGGCGAGGATGGGAGTCCACAGCTTCTTCTGGAGACTCAGAGCAACTTAATCCACCCGGTTTAGGCAGAAACCCACAACGTTGGACTCGACAACACCTCCCATACCAGAAAGGGGGAGAGAGGGAGGGAATCCCTTCTCGTGAAGGGAGAAAGGAAAAAAAAGGAAGCGTCCAGGGGTAGCGTCAGCTCTGGAGAGGCTGAGACATCGCTTGGAGCCGGGACATTGCCTGGCCCTCCCGTGCAGCAGCAGGAAGGCAAAGATGGACACCGTCCGGTCCCGGGAAATAGGGTGAGAGCCAGAGGGGGAGGCAGGCGTAAATAGGGCAGGGAGAGAGAAAGGAAAAGGGAATAAACAAAAATAAATGAAAGCACGTGGCTCCAAGGGGAAAAAATAGACGGCAAAGGCTTTAATTAGACTGCAGGCTGGGGATCACCCCCGGGCCAGGAGAAACATCTCGAAAGGGGGGTCAGCAGGGGACATGATGCAGTTCACAGCAGGGCCAGAGAGCCCTGAATGCACCACCCCACCTTCCCTCTGGCCACATAAGGGCAGGGGACATTTGACGGCCCCCAGCCCAAGAGCAGTAGCAGGATGGCAAGGAAGGACGGGGTCGTGGCACCTTCACCTTTGGCCAGCCCCTTGCCCTATGGCTGCTGTGCCCCTACCTGACAGCCCATCCTGTCTTCGTCCCTTCATGTCCCCTGGGCTCTGATGCCAAGCATCTGCTACTCCCCACTACCTCCAGGGCCCCCACGTCACCCCTAGACCATGCTATCAATCACACAGCCATCAACCATTCGTCACCTGAAAAGCTGGATAAAATCCCTCCAACCCCAAAAATAAGAATGAGGGAAGAGGGTATAGGCTGTCTTAGCCAAAGCAATCGTCCCCAAAACAGCAAGACCCCAGGTTTTTGCTTGCAGCAAAGTGGTCCCAGCTCCCAGCAAGGTCAGATTTCAGCCCCAAAGGTCAGAGCAGCTTCAGCCTGGCAGGCTGTGCCATCCCAGCCTGGGCAGGGCTCAGCCCCATCAGTCTGGTTGTATCACCATCCTTGGGAGGATTCCTCAGCCCGGGCTGGTCCTGCCCCAGTCACCCTGTTAGCTGCCCCCAGGGGGGCACCTCCCTCCCCATCACCCTGTGGCTCAGCCCTGGAAGAAAAGCTGGTGCGTGACATGTGCGGCAGCAGGACATAGGGACTGGCAGGTGGGGAGAGGAACGACCCGCGTCCCCAAATCCCAGCCACCTGCCTCAGGTCCAGCAGTGTCTGACAGCACAGCACCTTGCACCAGCACGAATCCTGTCCAGGGCTCTGCACTGGCATACAGGGCGAAGTCAGGGCATCACCATGCTTTCCCTGATCCCGTTGTAAGCAGCATCCCACCTGCTCCCCTTGCTCCAGGAAAGCCAGCGCACCAGCCCTGGGGCATCTCCAAAGAGTGAGCTGGTGGGCAAGATCCTAGGGTCCGGGAGCCTTCATAGGGTGGAGGACCCAGGCTGAGTCCCCACACGGTAGAGCTCAGCCCCCCACAGCTCTGGTTTCATCGTGTGCCCAGATACAATGCCAAGAGTGACCTCAGCCTCTGAGCCACAGCCACGGGCTTCCCATGCCCCCTGCCCCTTTCCCCCCCATCCCATCACACTCAAAGAAAAGCAAAGTCAGGACTTACCTAAAGGGGATGGGGAAGAAAAGATTCCAGGCGAAGAGAAGGAGCGGGTGGCAAATTTCCCTTCCTTCGCTCCTTCCAGTACCAGAACTCTCCGGGGGACCTGGCACGACGGCAGCTCAAACGGTGTCCGCAGCCAGCTCCGTGTGTCCGTCCAGGACAGGAGCTGCCAGCCCAGGGCTGCCTTTGGCTGGCGTTGCTCCCCTTGGCTTTGCTTTTCTTCTCAGGGAGCTATTCCCTCCCCACAGGCGAGCCCGTCGGGGTGAGCGAGAGGGGCACCCTGCAGGCAGCTGCAGCCACGGGGTCCCTCCGCCTCCCGCGGCACCACGACAGCAGCGGGACGCCGCGGAGGGGCTCAGGCCCGGGACGGGGCCCCAGGCAGCTCCCAGGATGCAGGCACAGCGCCCGCCCGAGGGGCAGAGCGCCCAAGGGGAGGATGGAGGAGGGAAAGGCAGCAGCGAGAGCCGGCAGAGATGGGCTGGAGACAGAGGAGGTGCTGTTCCCTTCCCCTCCTTCCCAGACCACACAGGGATGGGAGCGCTCCGGAGCCGGAGGGGAAGGGGAGAGGCAGCGGGGAAGGGGGGCCAGGGGATGCCCACGTCTAATTTCGTGACGACAGTCCCAACCCCGGTTAACCCCAGCGAGGTGCAGAGAGGGTGAGACGCCAGCTGCCATGAAGGAAGGACAGCTTGGACAGACAGCTCCTAGCTATGAATATTAACTACTTCCTCCGCAGGCAAGGCTGCGCTGCGTTAACCATTTCCTAGGCACGGCGGCAGCCGGCTGGACGGACGGACAGTTTCCCAGAGAGCGGGCCAGGAAGGCAGCCTCCCCGCGCCAGGCGCTGAGCACCACCTCACAGAGCTGGGCAGGGTGAGGCCCTCAGATGCAGCAGCCCCCCCAGTCTGGGGCCCCCCAGCCCTGCCTGCCTCCACCGCGCACACATCGCATCTGTCCTCAAAGAGTAATTACACATTTTGGGTGGGAAGGAGGGGGATGTCGTCTCAGACAACGCGTGACGCTTTCACCGAGCCGGGAGGCACAGCCAGAATCGCAAGCGCAAGTGTCTCACTGGAGACTTGAGTTTCTCCTTCTTAAATAAATACACGGTTCAAAAAGAGTGGAAACCGTTTGCGGCCGAGCCACCAACCCCTTCTGAAGGCCACGGCTCTCCGTGCTCTTCCGACGCAATCTGCCAAACCCGCCCCATTTCTGCAAATCTCTTTCTCTGCCCTTTCCCCCGCCACCATCCTCACCGCGAGCCGTGCCGGCGAGCCCTCCCCTGCACCGCAGCGTGAACGTGTGAGCGCTGGATTAAGGTGTGCGGGGCCCTGTTCAAAGGCACCGAGGAGCTGCCTGGCACTGCCCTAGTTGGTCCAGCCAAAACCTGCGCAGGGAACCTGTTGACAATTCGCCATTCCAGGCGATTACAAGCCAGTGCATGAACCCATGTCCTGGGCCTGCCTGGAAGCCAGGTGAGATTTAATCCCCTTTTCTCCTCACTTCTGCTGCTTGATCAACCCAAAATACACGGCAAAATATAGTGCATGCCGTTGCAAATATGAAATGCATAAGCAAATGCAAAACCCCCACTCTATTCTCCCAAAAGCCTGCGTTTCCCCTACTCTGGTCCATGCGCACAGATGTCAAAGAAAAGTCACATTTCCAAACAAATCCCTGGCTCAGGAACCCCTTTGGTCCAAATAGTGACGAGCACCCACTTAGCATCCTCGCAAAACCTCCTCTGTTTGCCTGCTTTTTTATTTTTTTTTTCCTCGTTGTTTCCCATTTCCAAAGCTCCTGGCAACGGCGGACACCTCACGGGAGGGCAGGACGAGTGGCTCCCCAGCTCCAGCACTCAGAGCACTTCTTGCTTCCCAGAGGCAGCTCCAGCCAGACGGACGCACTTGCGCTCTCTCGCGTGCGCTTACTCAGACAGGGTTTGACTTCAAGGAACATTTCAAGGTGAAGGCGAAGGTGCTGAGCTGTCAGAGCTGACAAGCCTGTCCTTCTCTCCCTGCCCGGCATCGCAGCCCTGACGGCGACCTGCATCCCCAGCCCATCCCAACGCTCCAGCCTTTCCCCTGCAGGGATCAACCACAAGAAATGAGGAGAAACTCTCCCGGTTCAACACCTCGTGGAGCCAAGTCCAGCCTAGCTGGTCCCTGCTGCTCGGGGAGGAGGTGCAGATTCGGCCTCCCCTTGCCAGGCCCTCCGCACCCCCAAAATCTCCGTCCCACCGAGCCCTTACCTTGCAGCAGCCAGAGCGGTCAAACGCAGAGAGGGCAGGGATGGGGAGGGGGAACCAGATTCCTTCGGCTTTAGTCAGCTGGCGAAGGCGAG